GCCTAAGGTAAATAAAGGTGACGCGAGAGATTGCGAGGTAAGGGGGGGAGGGAGGGGGTGTGAGGTACGAGACCTGAAAACCTTGGTCAGCACAGGTGATTTTCTAAATTTACATGAAAACAATGGCTTACATAGACGATTTTTGTAAGTTGAAAACATGTAAAATATGTCCGTAGAGTTCTCCTGGAAACCCTAAAGCGCTACACACGATATTTGAATTTCTCCCATAAGCCCTTAACAAACTTCTATGTCTCGGAAATTATTTTCATCATAAGAAATCCTTACTTCTAAAATCTGAGACATAAAATTCGCCTGAAAACCCTGGCTCAAAGACACGATATTTCACAGAAAAAAATAAAGTTACCTGTGGCGTGTACAGTCCACAGGGGTCCTCTCGCCAAAAAAAAAAGTGGCGCTTTCACCCTACTACTCACACATACCCACACTCCAGCAGCCACGCACCCATACCCACACTCCAGCAGCCACGTACCCATACCCACACTCCAGCAGCCACGCACCCATACCCACACTCCAGCAGCCACGCACCCATACCCACACTCCAGCAGCCACGCACACATACCCACACTCCAGCAGCCACGCACACATACCCACACTCCAGCAGCCACGCACACATACCCACACTCCAGCAGCCACGCACCCATACCCACACTCCAGCAGCCACGCACACATACCCACACTCCAGCAGCCACGCACACATACCCACACTCCAGCAGCCATGCACACATACCCACACTCCAGCAGCTACGCACCCATACCCACACTCCAGCAGCCACGCACACATACCCACACTCCAGCAGCCACGCACACATACCCACACTCCAGCAGCTACGCACCCATATCCACACTCCAGCAGCCACGCACACATACCCACACTCCAGCAGCCACGCACACATACCCACACTCCAGCAGCCATGGACACATACCCACACTCCAGCATCCACGTACCCATATCCACACTCCAGCAGTCACGCATCCATACCCACACTCCAGCAGCCACGTACCCATACCCACACTCCAGCAGCCACGCACCCATACCCACACTCCAGCAGCCATGCACCCATACCCACACTCCAGCAGCCATGCACTCATACCCACACTCCAGCAGCCACGCACCCATACCCACACTCCAGCAGCCATGGACACATACCCACACTCCAGCAGCCACGCACTCATACCCACACTCCAGCAGCCTCGCACACATACCCACATTTCAGCAGCCACGCACACATACCCACACTCCAGCAGCCACGCACCCATACCCACACACCAGCAGCCATGCACACACACCCACACTCCAGCAGCCACGTACCCATACCCACACTCCAGCAGCCATGCACCCATACTCACACTCCAGCAGCCACGCACCCATACCCACACTCCAGCAGCAACGCACATATACCCACACTCCAGCAGCCACGCACCCATACCCACACTCCAGCAGCCATGCACCCATACCCACACTCCAGCAGCCACGCACCCATACCCACACTCCAGCAGCCATGGACACATACCTACACTCCAGCAGCCACGTACCCATACCCACACTCCAGCAGCCATGCACCCATACTCACACTCCAGCAGCCACGCACCCATACCCACACTCCAGCAGCCATGCACCCATACCCACACTCCAGCAGCCACGCACCCATACCCACACTCCAGCAGCCATGCACCCATACCCACACTCCAGCAGCCACGCACTCATACCCAGACTCCAGCAGCCACGCACCCATACCCACACTCCAGCAGCCACGCACCCATACCCACACTCCAGCAGCCACGCACCCATACCCACACTCCAGCAGCCAGGCACCCATACCCACACTACAGCAGCCACGCACCCATACCCACACTCCAGCAGTACGCACACGTACCCACACTCCAGCAGCCATGCACACATACCCACACTCCAGCAGCCACGCACACATACCCACACCCCAGCAGCCACACACTCATACCCACACTCCAGCAGCCACGCACCCATACCCACACTCCAGCAGCCACGCACCCATACCCACACTCCAGCAGCCACACACCCCTTACCCACATTCCAGCAGCCACGCACACATACCCACACTCCAGCAGCCACGCCTCCTACCCACACCAAACATGTCGTGGCGTTCCCTCCTCTTCCCTCACCGCTCACAATATATTATCGCGGTCATTACCTTACCTCTAATGAGCAAGGCTGTGTGCCGATCCTGTTTTGTTGACACTAACGAGCTAATTAATTACTCAAGCTGAGAGCTTCAGTACAGGAGCTGGGTCGCTCGTCGTGGCATCAGGCTTCTATGTACACTATTATGTCTGTACACCACAAGGGGGTCCATGTACACAATTATGTGTGTACACCCTCTACTCTCCATAGTGTATAGTAGGTCACTGGAGACGGGAGACCTACCAGAAAATGGAAAACGGCTAATGTAGTCCCAATAAACAAAAAGGGTGACAGACAAGAGGCACTGAACTACAGGCGGTGTCCTTGACTTGTATACCATGCAAGGTGATAGAGAAGATCGTGAGAAAAAACCCTACTAACACATCTGGAGAGAAGGGACATCGTGACAACCCATTAACATGGGTTCAGGGAGGGTAAATCTTGCCTTACAGGCTTAATAGAATTCTACGATCAGGTGACAAAGATTAAGCAAGAAAGAGAAGGATAGACGGACTGCATTTTCTTGAACTGTCGGAAAGCCTTTGACACAGTACCCCATAAGAGGCTTGTACGTAAGCTGGAGAGACAGGCAGGAGTAACTCGTAGGGCGCTCCAGTGGATAAGGGAGTACCTAAGCAATAGGAAGCAGAGAGTTACAGTGGAGGGTGAGACCTCAGGTAGGCGTGAAGTCACCAGTGGAGTCCCACAGGGCTCTGTACTCGGTCCTATCCAGTTTCTGATATACGTAAATGATCTCCCAAACTTATTCCTCTCAATGTCTGATGACGATGCCAAAATTATGAGAAGGATTAAGACAGAAGAGGACAAGCTGCACGAATGGTCGAACAAACGGGTGTTAGAGTTTAATCCAAGCAAATGTAATATGATGATGATAGGTGTAGGGAGCAGGAAACCAGATACAAGGTAACATTTGGGAGATGAAATTCTTCAAGTGTCAAAGAGAGAAAGACCTGGGGGTTGATATCACGCAAGACCTTTCCCCTGAAGCCCATATCAAGAGAATAATATTAGCGGCATATGCCAGTTTGGCCAACATAAGAACGGCCTTTAGAAACTTGTGTAAGGAATCTTTCAGAACTTTGTATACCACATATGTCAGACCAATCCTGGAGTATGCGGCTCCAGCATGGAGTCCATATCAAGTCTAGCATAAGATTAAACTGTAAAAGGTTGAAATGTTTGCCACCAGACTAGTACCCGAACTGAGAAGTATGAGCTATGAGGAGAGGCTACGGGAATTAAACCTCGCGTTACTGGAAGACAGAAGAGTTAGTGGGGACATGATCACTACATACAAGATTCTCAAAGGAATCGACAAGGTAGATAAAGAGAGGTTATTTAACACAAGAGGCACACACACTAGGGGACACAGGTGGAAACTGAGTGCCCAAATGAGCCACAGAGATATTAGAAAGAACTTTTTTAGTGTCAGTGTGTTGACAAATGGAATGCATTAAGACTCCATACTTAGTTTCAAGTGTAGATATGATAGAGCTCAATAGGCTCAGAAACCTGTACACCTGTTGATTGACGGTTGAGAGGCGGGACCAAAGAGCGAAAGCTCAATCCCTCCCCCGCAAGCACAGTTAGGTGAGTACAACTGCTACTGCTAAAGTTCAACTCGGGAAAGTGTAAGGTGATGAAATTAGGCGAAGGGAGCAGGAGGAGGCTGAACACAAGGTATCATCTGGGAGGTGAAATCCTGCAAGAGTCAAATAGAGAGAAAGACCTGGGGGTTGATATCACACCGAACCTGTCCCCAGAGGCCCCCATCAAAAGAATATCATCAGCGGCATATGCTAGACAGGCCAACATAAGAACTGCCTTTAGAAACTTGTGTAAGGAATCTTTCAGAACCCTGTATACCACTTATGTAAGACCAATCCTGGAGTATGCAGCTCCAGCCTGGAGTCCATTCCTATTTAAACACAAGACAAAGTTAGAGAAGATTCAGTGGTATGCCACCAGGCTCGTCCCGGAACTGAGAGGAATGAGCTACGAGGAAAGGCTAATGAAGCTGAACCTCACATCCCTGGAAAACAGAAGAGTAATGGGAGACATGATCACCACCTACAAAATTCTCAGGGGAATTGACAGGGTGGACAAAGACAAACTCTTCAGCACGGGTGGGACACGAACAAGGGGACATAGGTGGAAACTTAGTACCCAGATGAGCCACAGAGACGTTAGAAAGAATTTTTTCAGTGTCAGAGTAGTTAATAAATGGAATGCACTAGGAAGTGATGTGGTGGAGGCTGACTCCATACACAGTTTCAAATTTAGATATGATAGAGCCCAGTAGGCTTAGGAATCTGTACACCAGTGGATTGACAGTTGAGAGGCGGGACCAAAGAGCCAAAGCTCAACCCCCGCGAGCACAATTAGGTAAGTACAATTAGGTGAGTACAACGACAAGGGGCTCCATGTACACTATCACGTATGTACACCACAAGGGGCTCCATGTACACTATCACGTATGTACACATCAAGTGCTCCATGTACACTATCACGTATGTACACCACAAGGGCTCCATGTACACTATCACGTATGTACACCACAAGGGACTCCATGTACACTATCACGTATGTACACTACAAGGGACTCCATGTACACTATCACGTATGTACACCACAAGGGACTCCATGTACACTATCACGTATGTACACCATAAGGGCTCCATGTACACAAGACACCACGAGTGTAAATAACAAAGTGATATATCACATTTAACTCAATTATTTACTACTGAAGTCGGTAAGCTGGTGATGCGTCAGCTGTGTAACAAAGCGCAAGACTTACAGCTAAATAAAATCTCACGGCTGTAAAATTTTCACGAACACACATAAAGTATGAAGCTTCCTGAAATATACAAAATATCATAAGAATACTACAAAATGTAAGACTTTTTTGACATTTGCACTTGTAAAAAGTATTCTTCCTAAGAGCGAGAAGTCTTTTGTCGAGTGTAACTGAAAGATCTTTCTGAGAGAAAGATTGACCTTTTCAGTAAGGTCGTAAGTCACACCTCTTCCTCTACCCGTCAGTCAAGGACTAACTGGGCCGAGAATGCATGACTGGCATCAACTCTGTCCCTGCTATTACACTGAGAAGTGGCCACAAGCCACGCTGAAAGTCACGCTAATCTGGAAAAAAATATATTTTGAATATAACTTCAACAATTGAGAGAGAGAGAGAGAGAGAGAGAGAGAGAGAGAGAGAGAGAGAGAGAGAGAGAGAGAGAGAGAGAGAGAGAGAGAGAGAGAGAGAGAGAGAGAGAGAGAGTGAGAGAGAGAGAGAGAGAGAGAGAGAGAGAGAGAGGAGAGAGAGAGATTGAGAGAGAGAGAGAGAGAGAGAGAGAGGAGAGAGAGAAGAGAGAGAGAGAGAGAGAGAGAGAGAGAGAGAGAGAGAGAGAGAGAGAGAGAGAGATTGAGAGAGAGAGAGAGAGAGAGATTGAGAGAGAGAGAGAGAGAGAGAGAGAGAGAGAGAGAGAGAGAGAGAGAGAGAGAGAGAGAGAGAGAGAGAGAGAGAGAGAGAGAGAGAGAGAGAGAGAGAGAGAGAGAGAGAGAGAGAGAGAGAGAGAGAGAGAGAGAGAGAGAGAGAGAGAGAGAGAGAGAGAGAGAGAGAGAGAGAGAGAGAGAGAGAGTATAATAAGAGGCGTTCTGCGTGTTCTGAGCGCTGGCTCTTTATGGTTATCAGTTAGCTTTAGTTGCGTGCAGTTTGAGAAATTAATTTTCTGTTATTGTTGCCCAAAACCCTTGGAGTGGAAGAGTTAAAAGACTTACAGGTGGCACAAAACGTCTTAATCAGACCTCCGCAGTTTTGAGAGAGTAACGCAATATATTATTTTCATGCGATGCAATCTTATGATCACTCAGTGATGTTTTAAGCGACTTACATATTTGTCACAGCGTGCATGAGTGTATTACTGTAAGTACGCGAGTTAGCACTCAATAATCTAGTAGCGTTTGGTATACACATATACCCGTGTGTATATTACTCATACAGGGAGTAGTGGCAGCTTCCCTCTTCCGTCTCCCACTTCCTGAGGATCCACACTAAAGTTTCCTTTACGTTTATCCTGTTCATCTTGATATTGATTATCAAGATGAACCCTTCAGTATCAGTTCATTCTGACACTGAGGGTTTCCCCTTGTCAGAGGCAAACTTCCGAGACCATCCACTGAGTGTCTTGTTGCTGTGATCGCCTCAACTCATGCTATTCTTATAAGTTATTCAGCAGTTGCAAGAACGCTGGGCAGCAACCTCCTGAAACCTTGAAATTCGTAACTGAATTCAGATGGACATCAATTAAAGGATTCGAAATCAACGCTCGCAGCTCACACAACACTCTCTCTGACTCTGATCATATAGTCATAGAGATTTTTAACCCCCAAGTCCCAACTGACGCCTTCCTCGGTCACGTCATGCTCTGTGTTGACTACCTCGGTCACGTCATGCTCCGTGTTGACTACCTCGGTCACGTCATGCTCCGTGTTGACTACCTCGGTCACGTCATGCTCCGTGTTGACTACCTCGGTCACGTCATGCTCTGTGCTGACTACCTCGGTCACGCCATGCTCCGTGTTGACTACCTCGGTCACGTCATGCTCTGTGCTGACTACCTCGGTCACGTCATGCTCCGTGTTGACTACCTCGGTCACGTCATGCTCCGTGTTGACTACCTCGGTCACGTCATGCTCCGTGTTGACTACCTCGGTCACGTCATGCTCTGTGCTGACTACCTCGGTCACGTCATGCTCTGTGTTGACTATCTCGGTCACGTCATGCTCTGTGTTGACTACCTCGGTCACGTCATGCTCTGTGCTGACTACCTCGGTCACGTGATGCTCTGTGTGACTACCTCGGTCACGTCATGCTCTGTGTTGACTATCTCGGTCACGTCATGCTCTGTGCTGACTACGTCGGTCACGTCATGCTCTGTGTTGACTACCTCGGTCACGTCATGCTCTGTGCTGACTACCTCGGTCACGTCATGCTCCGTGTTGACTATCTCGGTCACGTCATGCTCTGTGCTGACTACCTCGGTCACGCCATGCTCTGTGCTGACTACGTCGGTCACGTCATGCTCTGTGTGACTACCTCGGTCACGTCATGCTCTGTGCTGACTACCTCGGTCACGTCATGCTCCGTGTTGACTATCTCGGTCACGTCATGCTCTGTGTTGACTACCTCGGTCACGCCATGCTCTGTGTTGACTACCTCGGTCACGTCATGCTCCGTGTTGACTATCTCGGTCACGTCATGCTCTGTGTTGACTACCTCGGTCACGTCATGCTCTGTGCTGACTACCTCGGTCACGCCATGCTCTGTGTTGACTACCTCGGTCACGTCATGCTCCGTGTTGACTATCTCGGTCACGTCATGCTCTGTGTTGACTACCTCGGTCACGTCATGCTCTGTGCTGACTACCTCGGTCATGTCATGCTCTGTGTTGACTACCTCGGTCACATCATGCTCTGTGCTGACTACCTCGGTCACGTCATGCTCTGTGTTGACTACCTCGGTCACGTCATGCTCCGTGTTGACTACCTCGGTCACGTCATGTTCCGTGTTGACTACCTCGGTCACGCCATGCTCTGTGTTGACTACCTCGGTCATGTCATGCTCTGTGTTGACTACCTCGGTCACGTCATGCTCTGTGCTGACTACCTCGGTCACGCCATGCTCTGTGTTGACTACCTCGGTCACGTCATGCTCTGTGTTGACTACCTCGGTCACGTCATGCTCTGTGCTGACTACCTCGGTCACGCCATGCTCCGTGTTGACTACCTCGGTCACGTCATGCTCCGTGTTGACTACCTCGGTCACGTCATGCTCTGTGTTGACTACCTCGGTCACGTCATGCTCTGTGTTGACTACCTCGGTCACGTCATGCTCCGTGTTGACTACCTCGGTCACGTCATGCTCCGTGTTGACTACCTCCTCTTGCAAGTGTCATTATCTCCCACAATCCTTCACTGTCGCTTTTTCTTTTCTTTTTTTCTTTCTTTCTTTCTTTCTCTCTATCTTTTCCTTTCTTTCTTTCTCTTCCTTTCTCTTTCTTTCATTCTCTTTCTTTCTCCCTCTTTTTTTCTTTCTCTTTCTCTCTCTCTCTCTTTCTCTCTCTCTCTCTCTTACTCTCTTTTCTCTCTCTTTTCTCTCTCTCTCTCTGTCTCTCTCTCTCTCTGTCTCTCTCTCTCTCTCTCTCTCTCTCTCTCTCTCTCTCTCTCTCTCTCTCTCTCTCTCTGTCTCTCGCCAATCTCAACATTGAACATTGTGAAACTGTTCATGCTACACCTGCTCAGTTCGTCCTCCCTGGCTCCACTATGTTGTTGATATTTTTGGTGTTTGGCCTCACAACTAAACTTTCCTCATCTATCCTTTCCTCGTAACAATGTGTAACCTCCCGTCAGTGTTTAATGGGTATCAGTTTATCTCCTTCACTCTCCAGATGTATATATTACACATCTCTGTGAATGGCTTCTCTCTTTCTGTGTATGCACACTCGTATATATTATTTTCCTACTATCCTTTTGTTAAGAAAAGTATTTTCTTCCCATCTTGTTGCGGCCCAAACGCATCTGTGACCTCAGTTTTCTGACTCTGAAATTTTTCTTCTTTAGAAGTTATTCTCCCAGCTTGGTTATCTCCCGGCATTCATCTTCTTTCATCCTCAACGTCTTCATATGCGGAACCCTGTGTTTTGCCTTCCTTATATGTCAAAACGTGAAATCTCACTAACACAGTCTGGTTCACAGTAGGACAACATCTTCTATTTCAGCTGGTGTTTATTAAATTGTTTGTTCTCTTGTTCTTTCAGTGTTCTAATATTTTCGGGCAACATGCGAGTGACTATCTCATTGTGTCTCTAATTTGGTTATATCTGTTTTATTTCGCCTTCTCATTTACTTACATTTTATTCTGTTTTGAGTTTCCTTTCTTTTAGTTAGGGATGCTTTCATTAGTTTTTAAATTCTTAATTTATCCTCTTTCGCCTCACATGCTCTCTTGCCTTGTAATGGTTTCCTCCCTTTACTTCCCATGTTCTACATTATTTCAGTTCAGGATGAACGAATATGTCGTCACTTTCATTTTCATATATATGGTTGGGTTATTTCTTTTCATGTTGTTCGAACTTATTTTCTGTTAAAGGACACATGCACTTCCCTACACATGCACTTAACAAACATAATCAACAAATTATGTAAAATAGAACACGCAGCTTTAAAGAAGGGAATTATCTGACTGCATTGGCCCTACATTTGCTATTAGACAACAGCAATTGTAGTGCCAAGGCTGGCCCCAGGCCAGGTTTGGTGAGTAGAAGAACGCCCAGAACCGCATTCAGGAATAAAAAAAAAAAAAAAAACAGACAGGACGCACTACACTACAATCCAATGTCAGTTAATTTTAGGTCAGGTAAGGATGTGGTAAATACCGTAATAGTAATTAGTAATGATAATGTCTTCTAACAGATATAATAACATAGGATAAGAACCCACACTTGTGTATTTGTGAAATTTATGTAAGGAATTTACACCAGGTCTTTCACACTCTCCTGAGTCCTTTGTCAAGATCAGAGTTTGCGATTAGCAAGAAACTTACATCTCAACATCTAATGACGTTGGATGTTCAGATGGAAGTCTCGTCCAAATCACACACTCAGACCTTGACAAAGCACTCAAGAGACAGTGAAAGACGGTGTAAATTTCATACATAAATTTCACAAATAAACAAGTGTGGATACACACAGAAATCACAATTTGTTCAAACACGTGTGGGTTTTTATCCTATAATAATTAGTCTCATGGAATACCTAGAGAGGTCCAAATAACAGAACACAGGCATAAGCTTAGAAGTGAAAAATTCTTGCTTCAAAAACCTAATTGAGTTTAGTGCCCGGGCAAGCGAGATCAGACAAGACTTAGGAGGGCGACTGTATATTTGGTAACTATCGGAATTCTATCGACACTGACGACTAGTTTTTCACAATTGAGAAACATGGAGTGAAATAGATGGTGCTGAAAGGTACCTTAGAAGTAAAGAGCAGTTAAGGTACCTCTGCAACAGAAGGCAGAGTCACAGTAAGAGGAGACACCTCATAGTGGTAAGATGTTACCAGCAGCATCCCACAGAGATTAGCAGTGGTACCTTAATCTTATACCTTTACTATGACTAAGAATGCGAGCTTACAAAAAGGGAAATACTCCTTATCCTCACTAATTATGATAACATAAAAAACTATATGGGGGATGCATACGGTGAAAGGCTGCATGAAACTATTGAATGATCTAGACAAGCATATATTGATCCAAAATGTGGTATCTAGAGATTAACTACGGCAAGTGCAACGTAATGAAACTAAGTGCTGACAAGAGAAGGCCAGTAAAAATGGAGAGGAAACCCCTCCCTGGAATCAGACAGAGAAAAATTAAGGTTCTTACCACACTGAACCTGTGCGTCGAGGCTCACATCAAACGTTAGTCATCAGCTGTTCATACAAGGTTAGCTAATATGTGAACAACCTGAATACAGTCGTTCAGACCCCTGGATGCCACATATGCAAGAATTTTTCCTGATGAGGGAAATATGCGGCCACATCAGGGAATATTTATTTCGAATATATATACATACATATATATTTCGACATATATACATATGTCGTACCTAGTATCCAGAATGCACTTCTCGGCAAACAATGCAAGGCCCGATTTGCCTAATAGGCCGAGTGATTTTCTTTATTTTCAACAAATTGTTTCAATTTGTTTATTTGAATTATTATTATATTATATTAAGATCGTAAATTATTAACTTAGTTATGTTAGTTTAGGTTAGGTAAAGATAGGTTAGGTTAGGTAGAGTTGCTTAAGTTCGGTCATATATCTACATTAGTTTTAAGTCAAATTTAAAAAAAATTAACTCATACATATTGAAATGGATAGATTTATCATTTGATAAGAAAAAACAAATGAAAAATATATATATTCAGGAAAAATTGGCTTATTAGACAAATCGCGCCTTGCATACTAGGCAATATATATATATATATATATTGTTGGGGTTTTCCCCTCTCTATTATTCTCTACCCTTACTCTGGGGTAAGCAATAGTTATGCTCAAGGTAACTCACCGTAGCCCTGCGGGTCTTCCCTCGATCCTCACGGCGCCACTGCACGCCAGGAGAGTCTCCCAGTCAATCTTAACGGCCTCTTATTAAGAAAGAGTGAGAACACGACTCGATCACATCGACTGTCGTGTGCCCTCCCCAACAATAGGGCTCTACGGTTAAACACAAGATCGCCAACTGGTGTTTAAGGTGGCCAGTAACACCCTCAGTGGACTGGTGTATTCAGTGGTAGCCTTGGCAAGGTCACACTCAAAGATCAGGAATCAGGCAGGTACTTATTGTTATCACTCTATGCTTACAGGTATAGTATAGCCACAAGATCAATGGAGGGGATGATAAAAACACAAAGAGAGTTTTGTATTTTACTTAAAATGTATGAAAGATGTCACAAGGCCACACAATAATCATAAATCAACTAATCCTGACTCGGCCGGTAATTCCCACGGATATTATGCGATCACTAGAGGGCAACACTCTCCCCTCCTCATCAAGTGTCAAGAACAGCTGATTGCAATGGCCTCTCCGCGCGAAATTTGCTTGTTTTCTAGATTCGCTGTTTCGTTAAATTCTCCAATATTACCAGAAACTCGCACACTCTATATTGGCACAAATAAACCGAATTACTTAGTTACACTGTACTCAGGCTCAAACAGTCTTTTCTCCAATCAACTCTACAATGATTCACTGTAATGGTCTTACACTGTTATTTATCCAACAATATATTATGAAATATTAACACTGGAGTTTTCAGTACTTTCTCTCGTTGGCGATAACGCAATGATTCACTGTACTCACAAATGATTATTCACTGAATGAACATAGACATATATATGGTATATAAATCAATCATCAATACATGGAAAATAATTAGTTTCTGGGCACATAGCCTAACCTCCAAATACTGGCATAATATTATATATAATTTACCACTATATGTTCATATCAAAAATCTATAGAAAGATATACACAACACAGTAAATTTATCACTGGTTCCTGGTGCCTGTACACACCAATAATCAACATGAATATTACCAGTACTCTTGATAGTACTGTCTAGTACACTGGTGCTTTACCGTGACATGGGTGAGACTTGCTCACGACATATAAAATCTTCAGGCTAGATAATATAGCCAAATAATATAGCTAACTAAAGGGGAATGGGGAGGGAACTAGAACCACCTACTTCACCCTATCCTCCGATGAGAGTCGAGATGTAGCTCCTGGTCCTCGTGTCGGGCACGCCCCCACACTACACGTCGTCGTGTCCTACCAGAGCCTCTCGTCGTCCCACCGTTTAGCGCGTCGTCTCCGTGCCTCCTCACTGCAGGTCCGTCCTCCTCCTTGACTTCTTGAAGGTTGGAGTCGGTCTCCTGGCCGTCGTCTTCTCCCAGCAACGGCTGTCGCCTACGTCTCAGCTACAGTCGTCCGGTTTCCCCAAATAGTCCTCTCTTCCTCAGCTACCCAGTGGCTCTGTCAGCCACTACGCTGTCACGAACTGGTGAATTGCCACAGACGTCAACCTACGTCACTGCACGGCTTCACTGCTACTGGCACAGTACCTGACTGGAGCACTTGTTGCTCAAATAACCGTCAATTCCCTCTTCTGGTTCAACACATGAACTAGGGAAGACTTCTCAGAGTACTGGCGGAATTCAGGTGACGCGTAAATCCACGGTAGTGGGAAACAGCTGTCCGACAGACAGGACCACTCGTCGCACGTCCGACCTCTATGACGTGTCGAGTCTGACTGATGGCGCCAGCCCGGCGCGCTGGCCGGACCCCCTTCCTTCGTGACGTCACTTTTACTATGGGAGGTTTT